CAATTATGACCAGCCAAATTTGTTTTGCAATTTCTTTACCTGACGTATTCAGTGCAATTTGCCTTTTTTGTTTCGCAACCTATTGAATTAATAGAGGAAATGACGGTGCATTTAGGATTCCATGCTTGACATTTAAAGTGTGTATCATACATATTAGTATTTGGAGAAGATGTGCAATCAACAGAACTAGGTCTATTCATGCATCCTCCTGAAGTTGAATTAAAGATACAATAATCAAGCCAAGTATTGCATTCAATATTATTGGTATAATCATTTACAGAAGCATCTGAACATTCTAATATCTTACATTAACTACCCGTCCAAAAACATTTGGTTCCATCTAAAAGATTTAAATTGCATTATTATTAACTTATCAAACCAACACAAGTATTTGACCAAAGTTAGCATCCAATACCAGATGATCCTATTATGCAAGTACCCTCCAATACTTTCAATGAGTTACAATCTTCGTTTGTTAAATATTTACTAAGATCTGCATCTGTGCAAGTTTAATAAATGCACCTATTACCACTACTGTCCCATTTACAATTAATCCCTGAAAATGTAGTGTAACATTGCTCTTCCAGAAAAGAGTTGCATTCATTCTTTTTATCAACACATCCAATCAATATCTTAGAGCTTTAAATAATTTACGCATTAACTGTGCAATTTGGCAACCAAGCTTCACATTATTAATTACTCTAATAATTTGGTGGAGCTTTATTACATTTTTTGTCAATGCATCCTTAATTCATTGCGCAAACTGTTCCAGTTGAATTAATTAAACAAAATTCACTTTCGTAAATATTTTCACATTAATACTCTGCACAACCCATAGCTTCTAAATTGAATGTGCATAATGAACTTGCCATCTAGCATGTCGCATGATTAAAATAAGTTGGAAATTTCAAATTATTACAATCTAACAATGTGCATTTCCCTTAGAGCCAAACACAAGTTTGTTTATTATAATCAAATTCGCAAAATTATTCTTATAAAATCTCATCACAAGTATTAGGTATCCGTTCACATCCACCATCTACTTTACCTATACAATCTCCGTATTTCTTACAATCTGCTTGAGTATAATGAATTGGAGCATGCTAACATGCTCTATTTTCACATTTATTGTTATACCATAAACAGTCTTATTATTTCATCGAATAACAATCTACTTAACCAATATAACCTTAACATGTTTAAGGTCTCTATTTACATCCTCCATTTTCAGAAGTAACACAATCTAACAAATTGTCATAATCTTGACATTGTTGATAGTTTGTCAATGATTCTAAAGCAGTATCACAACTTTTGATTTTACATTAATTTTGATGATATTCACATTTGTTTCCTTGAGCATCAGTAACACAACCAAATTTATTCTAAGCATCACTGCATTGCTTTCTTTATACACAATGAATACCATTAGAAGTACATTCGCTCAATGATGATCTACATTCATAATCTTAAGAGAAGGATAGATTTTCACAAATTTTTTCAAAACATTTGTTATTTTTAGAATCCCAAAAGCAATTTTCTTTTCCGATTTGCTTTC